TTTATAAACTACTGAGATTTATTCTATAAGCAAGCAGCCGGTGAGTAATCAGTTAAAATAACCTTTGGCACTGTGAGGGTTAATTATGTGGTTATTAAAACAAATAAAAATATTTAAATGGTATAAAACAACAACAAAAAAGCATTACATTCAAAATCAACGTATTAGCCCTCTGGAACTTGAGTACTGAAACAATAAATCCACTTGGCCTGTGCTTTGTCATGATCCCTCTCCAATGTGAATTCACGTTTTCTATAGCTCAAACCTGTAATCCACTAGGATCCTAACTGTGGAATTAACTAAAATGTCTGGAAAGATTTTGGGACTGAAGACCGATCCTAATATTCCTGATGTGTTTAGAAATTCTTCTCTTAAGCGGCCTCTTAGTATCTCCCACATACTGTTTAAAACGGTGGCTCCCAAACCAGTCCTCACTACCCAGCAATGGTCCAGGATTTGTCAGTATCTCCATTGGAATAAAAAAGGGAATACATAAATCCTGGATTGTTGGCAGGCCATGAAAAATGGTTTGGGAACCACTGGTAAAGCAAGGACATGTTATTAAGTATATTACTCCTGAAGTGCTACAATCTATTTTTTATTTAATTTTATATCTCTTATTTTGCATGTTTGAAGTACATTTTCTCATGAGAATGGTTCTTTTTATAGCAACATTTACACCATGTTACTATATTTAATCCTATCCTAACATTCTGAGACTATAGTTTACCATTATTCAGCTATGCTTTTTCTTTTTACTATTTTTAATCTATTAATATTATTTCTATATTTTCATATATCCATTTTATGGTTAAATTTGATCAATTTGCTCTCACAGAGCGATCACATGGCCGCAATAGGCGTCTATAGAGATGCCTGCCGGGGGACTGCCTGGGCTGCTGTAAAAAGAACAAGGGAAAAAAATTAACAATGCACCAAATAAATATATATGTATACATATATTATAACATATATATATAATTCATATAAATATATATTAATAAAAAAATACACTTGGAATGAAATTGCACATATATTTATAATATATATTTCCTGGCTAATCATGGCAGCATATACATATAAGCTCACGGAGCAGGGCCCTCAACCCCTCTGTTCCTGTGCGTCCATTTGTCTGGTTACAATTACGTGTCTGTTAGTCCACTCATTGTACGGCACCACGGAATTTGCTGGCGCTATACAGGGCCAGTTTAAGAGCCCAGTGGGCCTGGTGCTGACAATTATGATGGGCCTATTTACAGAATCTTATCGACCAAAAACACTAAAACAATCATACCTCCCAAGCATCATGTATCTGATGGAGATGGTGTTGGAGGGAAACTCAAAGGATGCAGCTATACGAAAACACATACCCTATGCTAATCTCTCTCTAATTTATGCTTTCATCTTTCAAGTAAATTCATATCCCCTAACAGCAGTGTCCAGTGAAGCAGGAAGTCAATGTGCAGAGTAAAAGAGTGTGCCACTGGCGCGAATCACGTGACCAGACCTGCCAAAAGGGGTAAACATGCCCAAAAAGGGGGCATGTTTTTCAAAAGAATTGGAAGGCCAGCCTGGCATGAATGCATGTCAGGCTGCCTGCCAATCATGCAGGCTGTCCAACTAAGGGCATACAATGCAGCAGCACCCTGAGCTTGACATAAATGCATCAAATGATGTGCCTAATCCACCCTTTCTAAAGACTGTTCCCTAGCACTCACATGTCCACTTGTCTCCTTATCATCTTACTAGCAGGCAGAAGCTATTGGTATATAGTCTATATATAGTCTGGGACAGAGAAAAGATGTATGTAGTGAGTGTAGAAGAAAGGGGACATGCCACAGTGTTAGAGAGACCAAAGTCTGCATTATCTAAACTAATTTTATTGTCAGCCAGTCCACACAGGTTTTGTTCCCATGTATCCCTCTTAAGCTTTTAAACTTAAAGGGACACTATAGTCACCAGAACAACTACAGCTTATTGTATTTGTTCTGGTAGTAGAATCATTCCCTCCATGCTTTTTGCAGTAAACACTGTCTTTTCAGAGAACATAACTCTGATGGCCACTCCTTAGATGGCTGCTTGAGGTGCCTCCTGGGGCAGTACTGCAATTCAGTGTCTCCACCCTCTGCATGCAGACACTTAACTTTCCTCGTAGAGATGCATTGAATCAATTTATCTTCATGAGGAGATGATGACTGGCCAGGGCTATGTTTGACTTGTGCTGTGTCTGCCCCTGATCTGCCTAGTTGACAGTCTCAGCCAATCCTATGGGGAAGCATTGTAATTTGCTCAGACCACCACATCTGATGATGTCAGCAGACAGAGTCAGTTCAGAGACAGTCAGGGACAGAGCCAGCAGCTGCAGACTTGAATACAAGTAAGAGTTTACTATATTTAGGGAGGCAAGAGGGGGCCAGAGGGGCTAAATTGTGGTTTTAACATAATAAGGTGAGAAATACATGATTGTATTCCTGACCCTATAGTGTTCCTTTAAGCAAGAGTATGTTTAGAGTAGTTAGGGTTGCCACCTTTCTTGGAAAAAAATACCAGTCAGGTGGCAAACTTAAGAGTAGTGTGTAAAAAAAAAAAATAAAAAAAAAAAAAATTGTAAACATTGTTTTTTTCTTTTTTTTTTTTAAAATGGGCCTATTCCATGCGCCTGGGCTTGGAGCTGCAGCTCCATCAGCCCCTATGTTAATCCGGCCCTTGCGCTACATATATAATAATAATAATATGGGTTAGCTCCTCCCCTTACAGCCGATAGGACAGGAATTAAACAAATGCCTTTAAAAGGAGTATCCCTGTACAGGTTCCTCAGTCTTTTTCCTGTCCGACAGCCCTTAGGATGTGAGTATTTTGCTCCCTTTACTATATTTGTATTTGCTATTTTAGGGTGCCTTTATATTGTGGTGTTTTTATACTATGGTACTTTTATACTGTGGTGCCTTTATACAGTGGTTCTTTTACACTGTGATGCCTTTTAACTGTGATGTATTTAGACTGTGGTGCATTATGCAGCTGTGCCTTATGCTGTAATGCCTTTATGCAGCGGTGCCTTTAAATCACCTTGCAGGCACTTTTACTTTTCTTATACTTCCTCTTGGTGCCGGCGATTTATTCCCGGTTCCCTGGGTGTTCAGAGGCTATGGATGCTACACACCGAGCTCTCTCCCCGGTCTCTAACGGCAAATTCTTTAGTTTTGGTTGCCAGACTTTATGCATATACATTAGTCATGGATTCGGTCACAATATAAGTTTAACATTATGGGTACCATATATTACATGCAAGACCATATGTACAGCACATTTGGTACCCATTATTACATTGATGTGTCATACACTTGACATTTTCTTGTTCTACATTAACACCCCTGACCCCTCCAATGCACAACCCTAGTCAACAGTTTTTGTTAATAATATAGACTCTTATCTTATCATCTGATGACTTAAAGGTAGGCAGACAATGTAATAGAGCAGCAGGAAATGCAAGCAGAATGATTGGATGTATAAGGAGAGGTATTAGCAGTAGAAAGAGGGAAGTGCTCATGCCATTGTACAGAACACTGGTAAGACCTCACTTGGAGTAGTTACACAGTACTGGAGACGGTATCTCCACAAGGATATTGATACTTTAGAGAGAGTTCAGAGAAGGGCTTCTAAACTGGTTCATGGATTGCAGGATAAAACTTACAAGGAAAGGTTAAAGGATCTTGACATGAATAGCTTGAAGGAAAGATGAGACAGGGGGGATATGATAGAAACATTTAAATACATAAAGGGAATCAACACAGTAAAGGAGGAGACTATATTTAAAAGAAGAAAAACTACCACAACAAGAGGACATAGTCTTAAATTAGAGGGGCAAAGGTTTAAAAATAATAGAAAGTATTACTTTACTGAGAGGGTAGTGGATGCATGTAATAGCCTTCCAGCTGAAGTGGTAGAGGTTAACAGAGTGAAGGAGTTTAAGCATGCGTAGGATAGGAATAAGGCTATCCTATCTATAAGATAAGGGAAGGGACTAATGAAAGTGTTTAGAAAATTGGGCAGACTAGATGGGCCGAATGGTTCTTATCTGCCATCACATTATATGTTTCTATTTTTCATTGACTGTATTCAGAAGGTAACCTCTTCAGCATCACCTATACCTGCGCGGCCATAGGACATGTTGGCATAGCTTATAAAGGAAGTTGCAGGGTATTGTCTGAATCTACACAATGTTCTGATTGTGATGAGAAAGTAGTGGAAGGAAAACAGTTATGCACTGACTGTCTCCAGAAAGTAGCCGCTTCAGCATCACCTATACCTTTGCAGCCGCATGACATGCTGGCATGACTTACAAAGGAAGTTCCAAGGTATTTTAAAGGCCGTAGAGATGCTACTGTGGAGAGAGATATTAAGAGCCAATACTGAAGAAGCAGTCTGGAGTCTTCAGGTGATAATTGACTTCCACACAGAAGCTTCTCAAGATGTAACTAGGGTATTCTCTCGAACAAATGGCTTTATCTATAGCAGCTAGGAGAGCATTATGGTTGTGTTTCTGGGATGATGACTCATCCTCCAAGTCTGCCCTCTACACCATTCTATTTGAAGAGGAGCTGCTGTTTGAGAAACTTTGGATAAATCCATTAAAAAGGCGGCTGAGGGCTGCAAGGTATGTGTTCTTCGGCAAATTTTCCTTAATTTCATATGTTTTTTATACTCTGTATTTTTGTATGTACAGTATCTTGATAAAGCCCTTTTACAGGTCGAAACGTTGATTTTTCACATGCGAATTTGAATATATTTTCACTCAATTAATGAAAATCCAGCGAGTGCTCTCATTTCTTTCTTTGGAATATATATATATATATATATATAAAGAATGAATAAATAAAAATAAAAAAAAATGTGTTTAAATTAGTTTTTTTGCATTTTTCACACACAAACAAATATATATATTTTTAAATTCTTTATTTTTCAAAGATTTGTGTTTGAAACAAGAAGTACAGAGTACAGGCCATACGTTCTCTCTCATCGACATTTCAACAATTTGTTACAAACGTGGTGCATATACATTGGTGCTCGGTGAGTGCGGGTTCCCGTGAGCCACTTTGTGGATTGCGGTTGTTCAAGGGGGAGAACTCTTGGCTGTTAGGTTGGCTTATCATGTGTGGTGACCCCTGGAGCCTAGGCTGTGCTTGGTGAGGGCAAATCCAGTCGAGCAGCGCTTGTTGGAGGGGGAATCGTTGTGGCCTGGGTGTTTGTGGGCTTTGCAGGCGTGGGGTGGGGTGTCAATGATCCCCTCAGTAGCGGTGTCGCCTGAGCGAGGACGTTGGCCTGGAACTGGAGTAGAAATAGGGCACACACAAATATTAATGCTAGTTTTGGCTACTGTTTATGACTAAGTGGCTATTAAAAAAGACTGGACATCCCACATTTATAATACCTTGGGTTATCTACTTTTGCATATGGTATGCCATCATGGGAGTAATTCTCATTCCTGGGCTACCATACGGTCTCAAAGGCAACATAACCAGTCTGGCAAATTTTAATGTTAATAAACGGAAAAATGTGATGTGCAATGTTTGACCCCGTAACTTTCCAAAACACCATAAAACTTGTACATGGGGGACACTGTTTTGCTTGTTAGACATTGCTGAATACAAATATGTGTACTTTATTGCAGAAACAGCTAACAGTATTATGACTTTCACAGTTAAAGGGACACTATAGTCACCCAGACCACTTCAGCTCAAAGGGTGCCAGGTCCCTCAGGTTTTAACCCTTCAGATGCAAACATAGCAGTTTCAGAGAAACTGCTATGTTTACATTTGGGGTTAATCCATCCTCTAGTGGCTGTCTTCCGGACAGCCACTAGAGGCGAATCTGCGACACTGGAGGCACATTTCGCCTCCATCGCGCAGAGCGTCCATAGGAAAGCATAGAGAAATGCTTTCCTATGGACAATTTAAATGCACACGCGGCACTTGCCGCGCATGCGCAATCGGCTCAGCTGACGTCGGACGGGGGAGCTGACGTCGGCAGGGGAGGAGAGGTCACCAGCACCGAGGGAGCCCGGCGCTGGATTAAGGTAAGCTGCTGAGGGGGTTTTAACCTCTTCATCGCAACTAGAGGGGTACCCTGAGGGTGGGGGCACCCTCATTGCACTATACTGTTTTAGGAAAACCGCTCTGTTTTCCTGACACTATAGTGATCCTTTAACCCCTTAAGGACCAAACTTCTGGAATAAAAGGGAATTATGACATGTCACACATGTCATGTGTCCTTAAGGGGTTAAACTTTCATGCACATATTAAAAAATAACATTTCCTAATTTCTCCCATTTTAAAAATATTTTATTCAAATTACATTATGTTTTATAGATAATTAATCGATGTTAAATGAAAGTCCGTTTTTTCCTGAATAAAATGATATAGAAGTGTGGGTGTATTTAATATGAAAGAGACGAATTACGGTTGAACAGATATATAGCGCAAATTTCAGGTTTTGTTTACATTTTGTTTTGATTGCAACTTGTACAATTGGCTCCATCCTTAAAGGACCACTCTAGGCACCCAGACCAGTTCAGCTTAATGAAGTGGACCTGGGTGCCAGGTCCTTCTAGGGTTAACCCATTTTTTAATAAACATAGCAGTTTCAGAGAAACTGCTATGTTTATCAATGGGTTAAGCCTTCCCCTATTTCCTCTAGTGGCTGTCTCATTGACAGCCACTAGAGGCGCTTGGTGCTTCTCACTGTGATTGTGAGAGCACGCCAGCGTCCATAGGAAAGCATTATGAATGCTTTCCTATGTGATTGAATGCGCCGCGCTCTTGCGCATGCATTCAGACGGGGATCGGAGGAGGAGAGGAGGCAGAGAGCTCCCCGCCCAGCGCTGGAAAAACGTAAGTTTACCTCTTTCCCATTTCCAGAGCCGGGCGGGAGGGGGACCCTGAGGGTGGGGGCACCCTCAGGGCACTATAGTGCCAGGAAAACGAGTATGTTTTCCTGGCACTATAGTGGTCCTTTAAGGGGTTAATCACCCTTGAGAAAGTTCAAAGGCCGAAACGTTGTATGGTATACAGCTCTTGTACATAAGGAAGGTTGAACACTGTTTGTTTCTATATATACATACACTTTCTTTGTATGTATTGCAATGTTTATTTGTATGGTATACATTCTTTGATTTGTTAGGTATTTTCCATCTTGGTATTTATACCCTCATATAGGAGACGTGTATGTTTATATATCTATTAAATCTTTATATGAGATAATCAATCAAACGTATAGTTTTATAATATTTGGTGTGCAGCTGATTGTTATTTATAAAAGTGTGTATAAAATGATCAGTTTATGAAGCAGATCTGCTCATCTATTCATAATTGTGGCCAAGGGACCAAACTACATATCCTATAAACCCATTCTCAAAAGTGGTACAGAGATTTAAACAAAAACAAAAAAAACATAGATCAGAATGAGAGGCTCCTGATAGAGACTCAACCTTCACAATTTTAAGTTTATTTTTTTATGTTATTGGCAAGGCTCTTTTTCAAATGGACACTAAAGGAATCCAGACAATTTCATGTCAATGAAGTGGTCAGGGTGCAGTGCCCCTTCCATTTAAACCTGTAATGTAAAACATTGCCCTTCTGTAGGAATGGAAATGTTTTCAATGCAGGGATAAATATACCTCTAGCAGCCTCTATCTTTCTAACAGCCACTAGAGACACATCCCCTGTGAGTACGGATTAGAAATACATGTTTGTGTTCTGAATGCTATAGTATTTCTTTAAACATCTTTAGATTTGAAGCTCATATGGGCAGGGCCCTCTTCACCTACTGTTCTAACATGTCATACGTGCCTTATTAGAATTAAATGTTGTTGTTTGTTATTGAACAGAGCTTTGGAATATGTTGGCACTATATAAATGTAATCATTAGTAGTTTCCTAGTGGTGTCTGATCTGTAAGTATGAGTGAGCAACACTGTGGCTGGGTTTTTTGAGCTCAAAATTTCTGTCCCTGGAGGCAAGCTGTGACACACTGTGGACAAAAAAAAGTATCTGCAGCACATGTTAACATATTATGATGCCTAGAGTACAAATCGGCAATTTCAGGCTTCCCCCCAATGCAATGCAGGACCATTTGTTTTTATCCTCTAAATGTCCGCCATGAGTTACAAAAGATTGGCAGTTTTGGGATTTGACAGTATTGTATATGGTGTAAAGCGTAATTAAAGAGGAAATTAAGCAGTATTTTGAAAAACAGAAATCACCAGGGTTAACACCATTAAGGCATGAATCATAATATGATTCAAAGGCATTTATTATTATTATTCTTACTGGCAATTACAAAGCGGCCAACATATTCTGCAGTGCTGTACAATTGGGGAAAAAGACAGTATAATTACAAATGGTAAAGATCAAACCAAAAATTTATTTGCACAAGGCACTAAATTTCTAGCTCAATCTACCGTATATACTCGAGTATAAGCCGACCCGAATATAAGCCGAGGCCCCTAATTTTACCCCAAAAAACTGGGAAAACGTATTGACTCGAGTATAAGACTAGGGTGGGAAATGCAGCAGCTACTGGTAAATTTCTAAATAAAATTAGATCCTAAAAAATTATATTAATTGAATATTTATTTACAGTGTGTGTATATGATGAATGCAGTGTGTGTGTATGAATGCAGTGTGTGTGTATGAGTGCAGTGTGTGTGTATGAATGCAGTGTGTATATGCATGCAGTGTGTGTATGAGTGTGCAGTGTGTGTGTGTGTGATGCAGTGTGTGTTTGTGTTGCAGAGCCTTGGTGGGGGGTGGGCATTTTTATAAAAAAAAAATTAATATTATTTTAATTTTTTTTGTTATATTATTATTTTTTTTAATTATTTTTTTATTATTATTATTTATATTTATATATTATTAATTTATTTATTTTTCGTCCCCCCTCCCTGCTTGATACATGGCAGGGAGGGGGGCTCTCCTTCCTTGGTGGTCCAGTGGCAGTGGTTCAGTGGGGGGAGGAGGGGGTCTGGCAGAGCTGTTACTTACCTCTCCTGCAGCTCCTGTCAGCTCTCTCCTCCTCCGCGCCGGTCCGTGCAGCTCTTCTGTCAGCTCACACTGTAAGTCTCGCGAGAGCCGCACTATGACCCCGCGGCTCTCGCGAGACTTACACTGGGAGCTGACCGAGGTGCTGACCGGACCGGCGCGGAGGAGGAGAGAGCTGACAGGAGCTGCAGGAGAGGTAAGTAACAGCTCTGCCAGCCCCCAGTCTGTATTATGGCAATGTAAATTGCCATAATACAGACAGTGACTCGAGTATAAGCCGAGTTGGGGTTTTTCAGCACAAAAAATGTGCTGAAAAACTCGGCTTATACTCGAGTATATACGGTACTTGTCCAGACCCAAAATGTAATATTAGAAAATTTGGGGATTCTGCTTACTTAGACCTGGACTTGGCTATTTACTAGGATTATTCACTAAACTCTGAATTTTCCTAGATTAAAGAAAAAACTGAGGCCAAAATATCTGATCTGGAAAAATACTCCAACTGGCTATTTTTTCCATTCAGATTTAATATGCAAACATTTGGAGTTTAGAGTATTGCCTTCTGTCCTCCGCCATGGCATGTAGTGTGTTTCAGCTGGGTGTAATGTGTATGGTGTTTGCTGGCTGTACGTAATGTGTGTGGTGTGAGCTGGCTTTATGGTGTGCACTAGCTGTAAGCCAAAATTTTCCTTAACTTTATCGGGCTCCAATACAGGGAGCACATGCCTCAGACCACGACTTCAGTAATTCTGCTCCTCGTGGTTCCTGCACTCACTGAGTCAGAGTGCATGGTGGTTCCGGCGACTGTGCTGAGTTACTACAGAGCGCTGGGGCCGCAAATTCAGCATCTGCTGAGGCCTGCAAGTGCTAAGAGAATAGCGCTCACACTCCCTAGCCTAAGCACTGTCTTCCCTGTATTAGCACTGCTACAGGCCTGCACCAGGGGCTAATCTCCCAAGTAGAATGCATGCCGAGGACTGAATACAAATTCCACATCCCTTAGCCCCTGAATCTCTTTTTTACAAAGTACTTTGCTAGGTAGCCTCTGAGCTTACAATCTAAAGGTTAAAATTGCCAACTGAGATGGGAGGTAGCAGGGAGATTTTGGAAGCCTTTGCCAAAGGATAACTGCATCTATTTAAGAACACTACTAAATTTAGAAGCTGAGCATCATGAAAGTTACCGTTCACAGCATTCTGAAGGCAGGTATCCACTACCCGAACCCTAAGCACCCTCCCCAACTCAACCTTTCCCGTTATCCCCAACAATATCATTCAGAATGTTACCATTATGAATATTATTTAAAA